TGTGTGTGTGTGTGTGTGTGTGTGTGTGTGTGTGTGTGTGTTCATGAGATGCCGGTGATTTCTGCGATGAATCTTGTGTCACTAACCTGCTTGAACAGGTTTCCGTCTGACAGCTTGTGGGACCTCGGCCGCCGCCTCCCCGTGCCTCAATGCATAACTGCAGGTGCGCTAGCAATTGCACATGGGATCATTGCTAGTTAAAACTTAACGATTAATTATTTCTAGCGACAAAACCCCATCCAATGACTCCAAACCTTGTTGCCTTTGGGCAAGTGCCCCATCTATAGCAACTGACCAAACGAAGGTACTTAAAACATCCCTCCTAGACACTCCCTTTCCCCTCCCACTTCCCCAACTTCTCCCATCCCCCAATCCCAACTCTCCCAATGTCAACCACCATTGCTTCATCTCCCCCTCGCAGACCATCCTGCTCAGGACACATCTAGACTCCCTTTCCTCTCCCCCCTCCCCAACTTCTCCCATCCGCCGATCCCAACTCTCACAATGTCTACCACCATAGCTTCATCTCCCCCTCGTAGACCATCCTGCTCAGCACACATGTAAAAGGTATCACATCCCTTGAGCATCAGTCGTCAGTTAAAGTGACAGCGCACTCAATACCATAGCGACACCACCAAACTTCCTATGGTACAGAACAGAACAGACAGAGACTCGGCGCCAGCAACAAAACCAACCACTCCTCCCACCCTCCCTCCTCCTCCTCCTCCTCCTCCTCCTCCTCCTCCTCCGCCCTGACTACGTGACTGGTCGCTTGTCATCTCGCCACCTTCACCTCCACTGCATAAGATGCCTCCAGCATCAACATTTATAGCGTAGACAAACATGATGTCACTCCTAGAATATCGCACATTGTTGCCATCCTCCTCCTCCTCCTCCTCCTCCGCCGCCGCCGCCGCCTCCTTGTCTTGCTTTGATCTCATGACGACTCCGAGCTAATCATCTTGTCGACAGTCTACTCGTTATGGATATAATCAATATTGCACAGCTGCCAGTGGTACAAACTAGCATGCTGATCTGAAAAGACTATCACTCCCTCCTCTTCCTCCTCCTCCTGATCCTTCTACTCCAAATCCTGTTCGTTGTCCTCGTCCTTCAGAACCGTGTGCATGTCTTCTTCAGGCGCGATTATGACTCAGAGCTTGTCATCTCGCCGATGTTCAGCTCTACTGCTAGGATAGGCGAATCTTGCTCCATCGCCTCCTCACTGTCATTGCACCATCCATTGCACATCAAAGGACAGCATCCATGCAAAGACATAAGCAGGGTTGCCGCGAAGGCCAGCTTTGGCCCGACGAATACAAGAGCTGACGGAACCCTTCGCTAAACCAGGGTTCACAACAAAGGTCAGCTTTGGCCAAGGAATACGAGGAAAAGCTAACCAACCAAGACTACCTTCTTCACCCAAATAGAACACCCGGTCATTATAGCCATATTTGGCCCAACTTTCAGCCCAGATGCAGCGATAATGACCGGGCGTTCTATTCGGGTGACGACGGTAGCAGGGTTCGCTGCAGCAGGTCAGGTTGCTGCCAATAGCTCTACCCTCACCTCTGTCATCCTTGCAGCAACAGTGCCCTGTGATTTTCTCTGTGATTTTCTTTCCTTTCTCTGTCTCCCTCCTCTCCCCTCTCCCCCCCCACCCCCACCCAACCCACACACACACGCACACAAGGTGGTGGAGTGTTGCATACCGTATAGGTGCAGACCAGAACAAGAACCGACCTTTCAATACCAAGTACAAGATAACACAGCGGAAGACTTAGATACCAGTGATCCGAACAATCAATGTTGTAATGCAGCCCTGAACATACATCATCCTCATCGTTTCAGAGTGTGAATGGGTCTGGCGCTTCACACAGGAAGACAGCGCCAGCCCAGAACATGCACAGAGGAGGAGGAAGGGGATAGACGAAGAGGAGGGGAAGATGGGAATGTCGTCAACACCAAGTCTTCGGCACAAGCCCAAATAGTCCCTCGTCGAACTGTCTGAATCCCAAATGTCAAGTCTGGATCCAATGTCGTCAAGTCTCAAGTCACAACTCTGTCTCTCTCTGTCGTAGTCTGAGAAGTCAGGTGGCGAGAGGGTGAGAAGAGAAGGTGGACTTAGAAGAGGAAGAAGAAGAACTCTCTCTCTCTGTGTCCAGTACTAACCTGTGAAGTTGGCGCCTTGATGCAGGTACCACGACGATGGAGCTGGAGCGATGGCGCCACAGGTAAGTAACACTGGCCTCCGCCAGTCTCTCTCCCACTCTACGATCTACTACCTCCAGCGCCCAGCGCTGAAGACTACAGCTACAGCTATGGCGCCCAGCGCCGAAGACTACAGCTAGCGCTACCACTACTGCCTAGCGCTGAAGACTAC